TATTCTGTGTTAAGAATTAAACAAGATTATGAAGAAAATATCTGTGATCTTACACCATGCAGCACTACATCAAGCAGTAGAGTTTGAAATGCATTCTTCACGTTCACATGGCCCCAGGGGCTTGCAATCCACTTCCTCTGGGAAGGCTGCTGGGTCATTATCCCCAACCTGGATTAGAGGTGGGCTGCTTGCAGGGCTTCACAGCCTTGCTCAAGAGAGGCTCAGTTCAGCTACTCAATGGCTACTCTGAGAGCAGGACTTTTATCCTGAACAAATCTGAGCTCAGTATTTAAAAACGAGCTGCACTTCATTAACACAGTGGATTGCTGGTGCTTTTCTCAGGGCTTAACAGAACCCCCTTTAAAATGAATGAATGAATGAATGGTATTCCTTGATTTAGCTATAGTAGTCCTAGCAGCAAAGCCTCTTTTTGTCCTGTCTCCTGTTTGGATAATGCTGACATAACATCTTTGATTTCAACTTCCTAATAAGGATTTTAAATAGGATCTCTGACTTGCATGAAGAAAACAACAAACGGGAAAGAAATGCTAGACCACAACAATTGCAAGTGAAATGTGTTACCATCTTTTCAATGTGGAAAGACCATAATGGCATGTTTCTGTTCAACACAGTTTCACACCAGAAGTCTCAGCAGACAGATCTCCAGAGAGATCACCCTTTGGAAATGAAAATGTGTTACTATCACACCTCTCTCAACTTCTACACACACACTGCTGACTCTCAAGTTGTGAGTGTAGCAGAGGTTAAACACAATTCACCTGAGGCATACAACCACGCTGAAGATCTTACAGCGTGTAGATAACAGTAAATAGAAGAGACAAAGTATTTTGAAGATATGAACTTCTAAACAGAAACTTGCTTTTATGGCTTTGCTTGGTCTCATTTCACTCCTGACTCCAGCTTTCAGTCCAGTTATTTAACACACTGCCTGCCACTGGGATTTGCTACACCGCGAGGAGGCTGCCACTGCACTAGCACAGAAATGGTTAGGAATGCTGGTAGCTCCTTTATTAAAGGACAAATTTCTTTTGGCAATGAAATGGCAGTGTGAAGCATGCAAGAAAGGAGGTGCAGCTTATTAAAAGCAGCAGTTGGGTTGGAGGGGCAGAAGGCTCGCTGCCACTGCATCATCCCCAAGAGTCAGGACAGTAAATTTGGCTCAGGCAACTCCTTTTCACCTTCCATGTGAGTGTGAGAAAACATACTCCTCTTACAAGAGCCTCAGGTTTGGAGAAAAGAGCAGAGCATCTTTTTCCTCCTACATCTCGGCAGGATGATAAGCACAGTTCTGGAAACCTTACTTAAGTAGTTATAATTGCTCAAGCAAACCTTTCTCCCTTGGAAGATCTTAAAACTCTTCCTGAATGGTAAATTGCACTAAAAAACCAAACCAACTTCCAGTACCCATTAGCTTCCAACAAGATATGGAATAATATCTTTGGTGACTGCCACATTTTGCTGGCTGTATTTTCTACATTTGATGGCTTATAAAGAGATTAATTCTAAGCCAGCCTAACTGTAGCCCTTGCCAGCACAGCCAGCTCCTAGAGGAGGATTTCAAGCCTGGATTACACTGTCCTACGGATGGAGCATTACCTTTGGTGTGATGCTCAGGTAGGATGACTCGGGGGCGTCCTTCAGGAAGCTGGGAGCAGCAAAAGGAGGAGGTTTGGTGCTCTCCCCAAAGTGCTCCTCAGCCCTCAGCCCCCGCGGGGGCAGGTAAGCAGCAGTGCCACGGCTGTGGCTGCTCAGCTCCGAGAAATCCGAGTCGCTGGCGGAGGATTTCAAGTGGCTCCTGAACCTCGTTTCCAGGTTCACCTGGGAGTCTTCGAACACGGAATCCTCATCAGAGAGTTGGAGCTTTTCGAGCTCTTTGTTGATTTTTTGAACGTCAGCAACCGTAGCAGCCGCGGCGGGGTCGCTGTCGGATTTGGAGTATTCCGCGCACAGATTGAGGATTGTCTCAAGCCGCTGGCGTTCCTGGTTCAGGAGAAGATAACAGCACCCAGTGTCACGTGTGAGCTAAAGTAAAGATGAAGTTTAAAAAGTCTGCTGGGCTTTTTTGTTTTATTTGGGTTAGGGTTTTGTTTGTCTGTCGCTTTGGGTTTGGTTTTTTTTTTTTGTTTTAGAGTGAAGGATTAAAGTCTGTGTGAAGTCCATCTACCACTTAGAGATAATAAACGGTAATAAATAAATTATAGTGCAACATGAAGAATAAAAATTAATGTGAAAGAAGATTTTAAGAATATTAAAACTTTCTACATTGGAAAAATAAATAAGTGTTAGGACATCTTATTTAACTAGCTATGAATTTCTGTGAAACGTGCTTTTAAATTTTTATTGGTGTTTCTGTGTCTACACCCCATTTGTATGTACACACATACAGTGATCTCACTACGTAAATCACTAATTGTTTCACTTCACACTTACGCTATATTCCTACCAAACTGCAAAATATTGCACAGATTTTCCATGAACTCACACACTTTTAGATTTTTCCATTTTGTTAACTGTGATTCCTCCCTTTGAGAGAGTTAGTCCACATTTTGAAAAACACAGTTTTAGGAGCATTAACAGAAAAAAGAGGCATTGCATGTAAAATACAGCATCTACCACATGCACAGAAGTGGAGGAAATCTTTATTTACCAGTTTACTCAAATTCCCTATGGATTCATACCAACATTTCAAACTTCAGACTCAGAGCAGCCATGCCATTTTGACTTGATATGCCTCAAGTTGTGAAAAACATTTAATTTCCGAAGGATTTCTAGATCTCTACGATACCTTTTATCAACTCTTACCAAGTTATATTTGTTTTGTTTTACTGTACGCATAGCTCGTGGTAACTTCTAGTTCAGATGGATTTTTTTATATTTAAGAGGATTCAGATGGATTTTTTTATATTTAAAATGAAAGACCTAATTTTTAAGAGGTACAGCATTTATGTAATTTCATGTTACTTTTGTGAAAGAAAAAAAAATTGCTTACCATAAGTCTATGGAAAATTTTGCCGGAAAAGAGACCACTGTGAGAGTTCCATGCTTGACATTAGTATCGGCACTAATGATCTAGTTTCTGATTTCTAGGAAATCCTTCTATAGTAGTATTTAAAAAGAAAGCCAAAAAACCCAACGTCCTCAGCCTCCCTCCCCAGGAACCACCAGAGACAGATTTGCTTTCCCAGCTCTCCCTGGCATTACCTTTGCAAGGAGGATTTGCACTACCCCAACACTTCCCATGCCCAGCAGCAAGGATCAAGCAAAACAGGGCAGGCAATGCACTGCCCCAGCTTTCCCTGCAGCGAGCCAATACATTACATGAAAATTCAGCCCTGGTTACACACACACAGAGTTTTTTGGGGCTACTGAGATGTTACCTGGCTGTAAGCACCACACGTGCACATCACCCGCAATTCAGAGCTCTGAGCTGGAGAACCTGTCTGAACCCAGCCCTTCCCAAGCACTACCCAAACAAGAGAGTGCTTTTTTGGGTGGCTTGTTCCCAGGTTCCCAGTGCTGCTTTCCTCAGAATTCTCCTCTTGTTACGAGATGAGCCCGGGGAAGCAACTGCAAACTTCTGTTTTTCACGAAATAGCTCCAGCAGATTCTCAGCCATCCTTCAACCCCAAGTGGTCGACATAATTACACCTCTCCAAAGCCTTCTTCCCTCCAGGAAACTACTGCCAGACCCTATAAGCCTCTTTCTTCCCTTACTCTTCCAACGCTGCTCTCCTCCCTCTTACTAAGAGTTTTGGCCAGGCAAGCCAATTCCTACAGCCCTTGCTGGCTGGGACAGGCAGTAATTATGCAGCTCTCCCTGTTGAGATGGCATCAGGGTAATGGTTATAGATGGGAAACAGGGACACCAGGACACAGGGAGGTGTCACCCCTCCTGCAACAACAGGCTGTATATCAGGTTACCCCACGCCAAGCTTCCATCCCTTGGGCAATAATAGGAAACAACAAATTTCAAACCAGGGCCACTGCTCCTTCCAGCCTAAGTGCTCAGGTGAGGAGTTTCAGCAGCAAACCAGCCCTTTGCTGAGCAGTCAGGAAAAATAGGGATTCTTTTTTTCCCCTGCTGTCAATTCTCAGTTGTTCAGAAGAAGCTTAAAAACTGCAGGAAAACCAGTCTTCAAAAAATTCCTGATGAGCTTTCAGATACATTACAGAAATACTGATATTTCTCACTTCTATTTTGACATGTGCTGGGAGGCTTATGGACAGGAAGCTCTGTGGTTATTTTATACACTCTATTCTCATCATTTCATCTCAGCCAGCTCATTCCAGCTCCAGCACACCTGCATGTAACTGCTTCCAGAATGAATTTCTCAGTGAAGAAGCAAGATAGGAAAGCACCCTTGCAATGAAGAACACAGAATGAGTAGCACATGGAAAATCCAGTCAACAATTTTGCAAGAGATACCACACAAGTTATTTGTGATACTGAACACGGCAGAGGGGAAAAAATAGGTATGTCAAAAGCAGGAAATGGATTTAAAATTGGTTGTGGTGGGAGGGGGGAGGCTGAATCAAGCCTTGTAAGCTGGTCAGTGTGTTTCCCCATAAAATGTCATTTCTAACTAATTTAAACATCTCCGTGTATTTTCTGTAATTCTCTTGCCCACTATAAAAATGGGTAGCAAGTCTTGTGCACTTTCTGGCAGAGCAGCTTCACTATTCCTGGCTTTGAGAAAGCTACATATCACCTATGCCTGGCTGCAAATTTAAATGCTGAAGGACAAGGGTGGGATAAGGAGATAAGAACCCTCTTCTGCTATTAATTAACTATGACATTAATAGACTGATAGACTGTAAAAAAATTTCCAAAATATCAGAGATAAATATCCCACATTTTTAACAGCAACCATGTGGTGATTCCTAGATTTGTTCATCAGCTACATATCACATTTATGAATTTTACAAATGTGTAGAAGTGCTGCTATATCTGGATATCGTGGCAAGCCTTGGTTAATCAGCTGTGGCAAAAAGGAAGCTTTCCAGGTAAGTGCCACTAGGAACTGGATAACCTCAAATTTAATTTAAAATACATATGCAGTCTAACCCTTGTGACAAAGACTAACATGAATTATGGCTAGTCCGTGCAGACAGGTTTCCTTTGCCTGAAGAAGCTGTTGCACTTTTCAGCTCCCAAAGAACAATATTTCCTACTGTTGTCCAGACAGGCAAACCATCACCTTCTCAGCAAAAGCTAGGAACAGAAGCCAGTCAAAAAGGATAGTGGGGAGAGCTGCAGAAGAGCCCCAAAGTTGCTTTCTTACATGTACATTCACTGTTTTTCTAAGGAGCTTATTTCAATGATAAACTTGAACTGGGATTGAGAACAGTTCCTTCCCTCCAGTTTGCACCAGTTTCTCACTCCAGACTAGTATGTTCTCTCATTGCCAGTCCTTGTTTTGCTATAGCTAGTGCTTCAGCCAAAATAGTTTAATTTAATTTTCCCTTTGCATAAGCACATCTTACTAAATTGCAAGGCATCAATGCAAACCAGGCACAGGGATATTCTGTACTATTCCCTACTTCTGAATAAATGAATGAAATTCAGTGTTCTACTGACTGTGACAAAGTGGACTATGGAACAAGCCCCTTGAATTTTATTACTACTCATTCTGGCACTGATGATGTGAAACCTCTCCCAGTACAAATCCTGGGTCTACTAAAACTTCATTAACAATGTTTATGTATGTTCACATATGTCTGTATCCCTACAGACAGCGGGGCGATGGAAGGCATCATGAACCTATTGCACATCTAATTTATAGGTGCCTACCACCATCTAGAGGAAATACACTGTACTGCCTAAAAGCCAGCACTGAAAACTTTAGTGCTATTTAAACAAGTAGCTATCAAAGAAAACAGATGGCCCTTAATATCTACTCAACTATGTTGCCTGTGCAGTTCCACTCCCAGCCACCCCATCAGCTGAAGAAAAAGAGCCCCTTTTAGCTCCAGCAGCTACAATTGGGCTTTCATCGCAGGGAAAAAAGGGTGAGATTTCCTCTTTAAATAATAATTAAAAAAAAGAGTGCTAACTGAATCAGATGGAACATTATTAGAGCACGGCAGCAGCTCTCTCCCTTGTTTATAAGGCTCCTGGGCTAGTGTCAGCAGCAGCTACTCCAGCTTGTGCTTTTTGCAGCTCACATAAACATGCCTGTGCCAGGATGGATGTCCGGTCAGCTGGGCTGGGGAGGAAGCAGAAGCAGCCCTGAGCCTGCTGCCTGTGCCAGCAGCAGCCCTGGCTGCCCCCCTGCTCCACAGCCCATCAGCCCCAGGGGGATGGCAGGAGTCAGAGCCAGCTCCCCCTGCTCCTCAAGCCACAAAGGAACAGGCTGGCAAAGCAGAAGTGGCACCAGTCTTCAGCTAATTTACGTGAACCCAGCCACAGGCAGCAGATCTAAAGAAGCAGAGAAGGAAAACCACCAAATCCTACACAAGTACTTATGTGTCTTTCGTACTTGGTGCACAGGAACAAATTAAACCTTGGACTTTTAAATAATTAAAAACAATCAACCTGCATATTTTTACTATTTATATATATTTTTTTTTAATTTGGTTATTTCTTTGGGCAACGACGGCAGATCATTTGGTTTCATACGCAGGCTGCAGCAGCAGCTCTAAGTGCAAACTTCCAGAGGAACCTCTGACACTTAAAAGCAAACTAAACACATGTAATGCTCATAGAATAATTTATATGTAAAAGAAAAAGTAAACAAGTGAAAATAAACAGACAAGTTCAAGGGCAGATACTAGGTCAGATTGCAATGAGTGCATGGATTTTGCTGCAAAAAAACATCCGGAAGTGAATATCAGCTATCAAATAGGACACTTTCAAGCCACTCTGTGCCAGCAGAATAGCTACAGGGGCAAAGAAAGACACTCTCCACTTCTTATCTGGGCCACAGAGCAGTCTAGTACTCTAAAAAAGGGTGTTATTTTTCTGATAGACTTACTTGAGTATTCCTACACTGTTCTTCCTACTGTGCTTCAAAAACCTGGTAGGGAAAATCCTGACACTTGTGCACAGAGAGACTAAATTTCCCCTGCCATTTACCCACCAGCTACTCAGCCTGGGCTTTAACACAGTACTGAAAGCTCAGAGCACAGAGTTTCGATATCCATGAGTGCTTCTTTAGTTGGGGATTTTTATTCACACCTTCCCCAACCCCATAAAAAAGAGAGACCTGAGCAGACATGGATCCTTTGCCCATGTCAGTACACAAGGGCAAACAAAATTATTCTTTGTAAGCACTGCCTGGATATATCAAGACCTTGTTTGGACAGATCCTTGATTTATCCTTTGGACAGGGATCCATACAGAAGGATGAAGTAAAATAACACCAGAACAGGACACGCCCTTAATATACAAAGAACTAATGTGTGGATTTTTTAATATATATCTTTCTACTTTTCAGAGATCTAGAAACCTGCTTATGGCATTTTTCAGACTCTCAAACCTTTGGAAGGAGGTGCTGTCTTGATATTTTGCTATTTCACTGTTTTATCAGATAGCCCTGGCAAATGGAGAATGAAGTAGATATGGAGCAGTATCTTGAGTTTAAGATTAGCTCAAGTAGGAGGAAAATCCTTCATATGCAAATATGCAACACACAAAATCATCTTGGTTTCAAAAGCTTTGGAAAAATGGTAAGCAAATTCACTTTTTGAAGAATTGGGACTTAAAGGATGTATTGTTGAGCAAGAAGAAATACTGAGGGGTGGGAATGTAGCCATTTCATCCAAATATAAAACCAGAATGATTATCAGCATCACTGAATACTGAAACAACCCATAATCTTTCATCCCTCACTACAAATAATAGTTAAAACAAAACAAAACAAACAAAAAAGGGCTGTTCTCTTTGAAATACAAATACGTTGCTTTTATGACTGATTATCTCAGGTTTTACAGCATGACTGACTGCAAAACCTTCTGATAAGAAGCAAAGAAGCAATCACCACTGTACACACAACAGACCAGGACTAGGGAGAAGATTATTGAAATGAGCAGAGGAATGGCAGGACCAAGGCAGCAGGAAGAGGGAGAAACATGTTTCCCAAAACCTTTGTCCTAAGCCAGCCAGCCATTTCACTCACAGCTGGTCCTTTTTCAGTGAAAATTTTTTTCCTAATATCCAACCTAAACCTTCCCTGATGTAGCTTGAGATTGATTCATAAGATGTGAATTAAAGCACACAAATGTAAAATTAAGTGTCTCAAATTTAAGACTCAGGAATACCAACTGGCCCATCTAATGGCCTGTGTTTCTATGTGGGTGATAAAATATGTTAATAGGATCAGAGAGTCCCAAAGCCACTTTGAAAAACCTTTGGAAGAGCTGTTATGTGTTCTTCCAGAGACAGTTTCAATACAAAACTGTTTCAAACACCTCTGTGGGTTCTGAAGACCTTTTTACTTTTCCTACCCACAAGTGGTTTCAGTATAAATAGATTATATTTTACTACCTAGATAATCCCAAGCTGAGGCAGTATGCACTGCTTTACACCGATTGAGACAAAGGGAGAAACTGCCCTCCTCTGCTACTCTCCATCTTGGGAGGGGGAGAAGCAAGGAGGAGTTCATTCTGTTTTCATGAACATGCTCAGAAGGAAAAAATGAAAATTAAGCAGAAAAAACTCTGCTGATGGCTGTTTAGCCCACACCAATATATACCCGACTCTGCAGCACACAAAGCTGAGCAGAATCTCTTTTTCTTTGCCCACTTACCACAAAACAGTGCCATCATCTAGAACTAGAAGTCCTGCAGGATCCCTGCAGTGTAATTTGTGGCTTTTATGCATGCAGACATTTTAACACGACCTGGAGGATAACTGAACACAATTTCCATGGGTTCCAACATTTTTCCAGGGTGCCTGAGTGGTACTGTCTATGCAAGCAGCACGCTTCATGGACTGTGATAATAAACAAGGTATCTGGAGCATTTGAATTTCAAAACAGAGCAGCTTATTTTTTGCTGTACCTTCCTGATGGCTAGACCTGGAATGGGTGTTTTGCAAATGCTAAATATCAGAGATAACTAAGAGGAAGAGGAAAAAAATTACCAGTCGTTCCATCTCCTGCTCCCGAAGGCGCTCTTCCCTCTGCCTCCTGTGATAGTCCATGAGGTCTTCCCTCCCTGAAATGGAGCTAATGCTGCTCTTCCGCTCTCGCATGGGCGTTTGCAGAGAATTTGGTGTCTGCCTGTAACTTTCCAGATCTGGGTCATCAAGTTCCATGGAACTGGTGGAAAGGTTTCTTCGGACAGAGAACGACCTGTCAAAATCCACCGGGGAGAAAGAACTACTGGGACTTGTTCCCGAGAGTCCAAGTCTATCAAAATCATCAGGGAGATATGGGGAAGAAGGTGCTAAAAGCATTTTTTTAGCAACACGAGGGCTTGCAGGAACACTAAGAGTTGAATTGACATAGGGATTACTCCTGGAGACTGAGTTTCCATGTGGTGAAACCCCTGAGCTGCAAGAAGAAAAATTCAGGTAATTATCAGCATCGAAGGCATTCTGAGGTAGATCTTTTTCTCCAAGTTTTTTCCTTTTACTATTACCCAGAGAGCTTCTGGGGGGCAAACTTAATGGCACCAGCTGGTTTTCTGTTGATTTATAAAGTCTGGGTAGGGAACGACTGTACATTCCCATGTGACTTAGAGATCCACCAGAGTATTTCCTAGGCCGTGAGCCCAGAGTTTCCATCATCCCATCCTTGTACTTCACTGGCTTTATGTGAAGGGCCAGACTGTTTTCAGCATTCATTCTCCTGCCTTGCTTTGGGCTGGAAGGCATGCTGGCTGCCCCAGAATTGCTGCCAGGTGAAAGCACCAGTTCATTCCCCGAGCTTCCATTCCACATAGTCAGAAGAGAGCCTGAGATCTTCTTGGACTCCAGCATTCCTGGGAAGTAGATGTTGTCATAAGATTTATTTCTCTGACTGTACTTTGAGTAGTAAAACTTATCCATGTGTCCAAGGGATTTTTCATTTTCTCTGCTGGCATGGATATCAAAATCTGTCCTTCCTGAACTATACCCGCTGAGGGATGGAGACATGCCTGATATGGAACCCAAATGCTTTACAGAGATGCTTTTCTCTGGAAGATATGGGCTTTCACAGGGGAACTGCTTTCCTCCTTGAATTTTGTTAATAGCATGTGTATTTTTAACACTGGTTGAAGGATTAGGTTTAATTGGCATAGGTTGTGAAAGGGTTAAATAAGAGCCAGCATAGTCCCCATTCGTTTTAAATTTAAGAGTTGATGAATATTTCTTCGTGTTGAGGTTTTCCATAATATCCTGGAGACCATTTTCAAGGGAATTCACCACAGAACCCTTTCCCAAACCAGCATTTTGTAATTCCATCTGGTTTTGTGAGTGGCTATAGTCTGCCATAATCTTACTGGAATCTGTAAAGAAGACCAAACAAGAAAAAAAATTTAGCAAGCAAATAGCCTCTTGCATGTGCATGCCTGCAAAATAACATGAACACTTTTTGCAATAATTACTGTGTTCGTAGTAAATGCGTCTCAGATCACCAAGCAGAGGAGATGAACAATTTTCCCATCTGTTTCTGCAAAAGATGGGAGACTGAAAAAGAAGGGGTAGAGGCACAAAACCACACCAAAATCAGCAACACAACTGGAGAGAGGTTAGACTCTTTCTTTGCTGTCCTATCCACTGCAGGATAGGACAGTGGATAATGGCTCAGCCTTTATAATCCTGAGCCCCTTGAGATATCCATGGAGTAAGGAAGAATTATTGTCCTCCAGACAGCAGAGTAAAGAATCCAACTCGGGTCTCCCAGGGCCAAAGAGATAAGATACTGATGTGGATCACCTCTTCCTTTAATCCTTGCAGCTGGTGCATCTGAGCCCCAGCACACTCAATTTACTGAGCTCAATTTAAAGCTCAGTAGGAGTCTTTTGCTTTTTTGCTTACTTTGTGATGGTCCTGCGAAGCTTAATGGGAAAGTAGAAAACCAAGGCACGTTTTTGAAGGTGTTTCAGCTCATTGCTCTAAAAATACAAGACTGTAACTCCATCTGCAAAGAGTACTTTGGTTAAAAGGTAACCTTAAGGAAGCAGAATGCTAGGTTGCATGACTTAATTCAAAACAACAAAACCACATGACTATTAAAAATGCTGCTGGGGGGGAAGGCTACAGATCCTAATGATATTGCAAAAATCCAATTTATACTCAGGAAGAGAGCACAGACCAAAAAAGACTTTGCTGTGGTGGATGTTCAACAATATATCAAGATCTAGCATACAGTTCTGAGCTCCACTTTGCCAAAAGCAAAGAAGGGAATTCAGCTCCTGACAGTGCCAGTTGCTGTAGGAGATAAACAGGACCCCCAGCAGGTTTACACTTAGACCTCAGCTGATATAGAAATGACACCACTGACATTTACAGCAGCCCCTGGTTTGTGCTAGTCTACACTTTGAACTAATAAAGCACTCTTGAGTGTCACTTACTGCAGTGCCAGCAAGTGTTGTTTCTGAAAATAAGGGTCAAATCTGGGATTTACTCTGGGCTCAGTTACATTTCACCTGTGACTTCAGCTTCCTCGTGAGAAACTGAATTTCAGCTTGTCACTGGGTGAGAAAATCTAATGTGTAAAGTGTCCTTAACATCCTCAGAGGCAATACTTTAGTCCAAGTATGCCTTCAGGCAATTATATGAGCTAAGAGACCTAATTTGGGACTCCTGTCTGCCACCAGAGCTCACATGACCTGGTTTCATTGAGAATCACTAGGTGCAGATCTTGGGGAAGGTGGCAACGCATTCTTCACAGGGGTTCTGGTTTTTGGGAGCTTCCTTGCTGATAAGGCACAATGCCATGGGAACTTCCTTGCTGATAAGGCACAATGCCAAGGAATTCACCCCTGTCCAGGGCATCAGCCGTGCTCTGCTGCCCAGGCTTCCCCTGCGCCACCCAGGCGTGCAACTACAGCTTCTCCTCAGTTATTGAGGAAAAAAGCCAAGTTTGAGAACAAGGGTGATCACTACTAATGGAATTGAGTAGACAGAAGATAAAAGGAGCCAGCATTAGGGGATACAAACAAAAAAAAAATCAAAGTAAAATACAACACCTTCTTGACCACTGCTGGTTAAGCAGTTGTTAATTAGAAGCTGTGGTAGCGACCGAAAGCATTAACTTGCACCTTCAAAACCAAACCTCAAGTCTATCACTACACTGAATTTAATATTTTTATACTGGCTGTAATGATGGGATTTATATTATATTTATAATTTTTACACACTTATGATGATACAACTGTCTAAGCTGTCTTTGGACCAGTGAGCTCACGGAGTCCTTCATCACACCATCACCACTGTGAGCAGTGAAACTGGAGTTTCTTATATTGTGATATTTTACTTGACATTTTTTAGCTATTTTCATAAGTTTTGATAACAGCAATGATGAAGTTCAATTGAACAAAAGGATAGATATGACCCAAATTCAAAAGAACTCTTGTCAGGACAAGAAAACATCATCTGGATAAATCAAGCATTCATCGTATTAGTGATGTTTTAAGGAAAAAGAATAAGATCTAGAAATTATTTAGGAGCCCAAATGTAAAGCACAATGTATTTGCCTTTTATACTTAACCTTTCATTGTGGAACTACCCTAATTTCCATCTGAGTCTTTCTTCTCCCCTCTTCCAAATCTCTCTTAAAACTGAAATCTAATTTAATATGAAAATCATGCTGTCCAAACCTTAACTCACACAGCTAAGTTCAAATATTTTTGCATAAATTTCACTGGCTCCTCTATAAATAGCTTGGCAGACATATTAATGGGACATTAATAATTGTTCATTACTCCCTTGCAACAGCATTAGGACACATTTAATCCTTCAAAGACTGGATGCTTTTGCCAAAAAACAAGTTAGCTCATGGAAACTTTCATGCCTGCTCACCACAGCAGTGAAGGGTTCATTGTACTTGAAATCCAAGCAAGTACAGTAAGAAAAGGTCATGATACCTTCATGCAGCCACTCCAGTTCAGCTTTTCTCTATCCCTTATGCCAGTTCTGTTTTTGCTTCCAGTGCCCACAGTCATACAGTTAAATCCCAACTGGACGACAGCACACATTTAAATAAATCATAGCTGCAGATCTTGTTTGTTTTGTTTCTTTTTAGGGTAATGTTTGAGTAGAAACTTGATGAATGTGCCAGGATGTGTTACACATCCTGGCTGATGCTGTCTTTGCACGCAGCCACAGAGACTGAGGATGGGAGCTGCAGCTCGTGACGTGCCCTGAACCCATCCTGCACCCAGGTCAGACCCAGCTTTCATGCTCAGCACAAGGGTCCTCTGTTCAGCAAACTATTTGCTGCCTGGAGCTAGAAGGAAATTCTTCCATTAAAAAAAAAAAAAAATTATTTTATTTTCCCTCCCTTATTCCTTTCCTTCCTTTCCCCAGTTGTTTAGCTGGGGGTCACTGCTATCTTTTCCAGACAGGCTTTAAAGTGATGGGGGAGGGTTGGCTGTCTGCAGCACATCCAGCTGTGGCCTTGTTCTGCCTGGTAAATGGAGTTAGACATGGAATAAGAACAGAGCACTGATCTTATCAGGAGAATTAAAGGGCCAAAGTCAATTAAAAATTCTGAAAGATCTCAGCACATTACAAATAAACCTGATTTTAATTGATTACCTGATCCAACATTCTGGAAGGAGGAGAGGTTACTTCTGTTTGGCATCATATTTCTCTTCTATGGGATGGTTAAAATGACACTAATTTGAGTGAACCAGATAAATTTTGACCTGCAAATAAAGTAAAAAAGGAAAAAAAAAAACGACATCATGTTAAGAATTGTATCCTGGGAACATTTTTTGAGTGCATGATATAGAACACAATTGGCTTTTCTTTTAGTAAAATTTCCAGAGAAAACTCAAAGAGAAAGATGTTAAAAGATACTTGGAAAGGACACTCCATGTTTAATATGGTGACTGTGGAAAAAAAAAAAAAGTGCCAAACCTGTCTGCAGCTGGTTTATCCTTTTAAAATTACATATAGTTATTTTAATAACAAGCCATTAGCTATGATTCTGACTTGGTACAGGCAGTTACTAGTCACAGTTCCTGAGTTTTGTCTGTAATCCTGTGGCTTCCTTAAGAAATCACTAATAAGGTTGCACTTCACTGCTGAAGACTTTATTTGGAAAGCCCATAGCCCAAGTTCAGCCCACACAACACCAGCATCCTGCAATCATGAATAAACCTATGCAAAACCAGGTATGTGATCCAAAACATAGAAAATGTTTTGGCATGTAATGATTTCTGAGTTTCCAAAGAAGCCAGACTAGGAATGCAAAGGGAAGCTTGAAAGTTTGTTTAACATCAAATTTGAAAATTGATATGGCTACAAAAAAAATTTGGTTTAAAAGAAATGCCAAAATTGAATCCCAGACACTTAAAAATAAAATTAAATCTAAATCCAAATAGAAGATCTCTAGTGAGTTGCTCTATTAACAGATTTATTTGTTTATTTTTTTACACATCTGTTTTTAAAAGAAAAAAAAAATTTAATTGCATCAAGTGACAAAATTAATGGTGACCATCTGTAGGTCCTCTGGGCTCAGCTCTGGACAAGCAAATAGAAACGTGTCAGAAAAACAAGTAAAGGATGGAGACAGATGTCTGGGCTGTCTAGAGACAAGCCACCCATTTAATTAACTGCAGTCATCACAGCCCCAAGGTTGCAGGCTGTGGTGCACAGCCTGTCTGTGCCACGTTTTTTCATGTTATTCTCCTGGGAGAAGGGAGTTGGCTGCTGATCCCTGCTCCTTCTCTGACCTCTGGCTTTTGCCTCTCCTGCTCCCTGCAAGCTGCTCTCCCAGGGGAGGCCAGAGCTTTCCCCCTGTTCCCCCAGGAACACCCCTGTGCTGGCCTCACTTGGCAATGCTTTTTCTTTCTCTGTACAGGTCATTTCTCAGTCCCAAAGCAAGTTTTAACCCCACTGTGCATCCTGCCCCTCAGAGCAAGATGCAGGTTCCTTTGAGATGCCATCATCTGCCATGCCATCATCCTGAAGGGATCACCCACATGTCCAGGCTCCCAGCACAACACTGAAATTCTCCAGAGCAGCTGATGGGGAAGAACCTGGGCAGCAGAGACTTTTTCAACCCAGCTGTCATCCTCAAAATGTTATTTAATTTACGTGAAACACCCTTTTCACCTCATTTGTCTTCCAACCCATGGACAGACCCCTTCCCTGGTTCCTTCCAGCTTGCCTCAGATCCTCCAAACTCAAAGCCTGCACTGCTCCCAGGCACCCAGCTTTGCTGGAGCACAGGCAGCTGACCCCAGCAAGAAGTGACAGCAGCTCTCCTACTTGTCTGCAGACCAAACACTGAAGGATCAGGACACAAATCCAGTTAATACTGCCACTATGTCGACACCTTGGCATATTGCTTGTGTTATCTCTATTAAAAATACTGCACTTTGTGCTCTGAGGTCCCCAGAAAAGAAGCAAAAATTTAATTTTTCAGGCCACGTCCAACTCGACACAGAAAACTAGTGACACTCAACATTTCAGAGTTGTCTGCAACGAAGATGTCACTGAACAGAAAAACAAAACAGGGACAATTTGGAATTAGAAGACAGAACAAAGGGTTGGTTAAAAAAACAGGAAGATTAATTAAATTTTATGTGTCTCTAATATTACTGATTTATGGTAAAGATCACCAAAAACCTCATCCTTCCTATCTTGTGAGGTGACAGCTACCACTTAATCAATGTGACAAACATTAAGGAGAGCACCGCTGAAAGGGAAGGGTTTCTATGCAATTAAAAATTCAATCTTTTATTCAGTTTGGTGAATACTTGGGCTTTTTAATAACCTTTTTTAAAGTTAAATATTTATATGGTTTCATTTCAGGTTTGAGAACTCTTTACACATCTCCTTTCCTAGAGGATGAGAGATCAGAGAAGTCACCACTTAATAATAAGTGGATTTGAAGCAGAAAAGAACTTTTTAAAAAACTTTCCACTGTGAGAAAAACCAAGAAACAATCAATGAATTAATGAGCTAATGTAACAAACAGCTCAAAATCCACAGTAGATCTGCTCTCATGAAATCATATTCCTTCAGATGAGGTTATGCAGGGCCTCCAGCAAGGCTGACTCTCGTTACAGAGCACATGCCACACTCTGCTTGTCTGGAATGCAGCAAAATTATTTCATCTGGGATTTATAAAGTCATCTGAAGTGAATGTATACAGCATTACCAATCATGCTTCATCTCTACAGAGCCTTGTCCAAATTAAGTTTTGTTTCACTAACGACCAGAAGAAACAGTGATTCACAACTCAAGCAGAGAGTCAGACAAAGGATTCCAATTTTAAGATACTATAACACTGGGTGGCTTTACAGTAAGAACTCCTTTCCCTTGTGCAGTGGTTTAACCCCAGCTGGTAACTCCAGCCCCCCAGTTGCTTGCTAACCCCCACCCAGGATGAGAGAGAGAATCATAAAAGAGGGAAAACATGTATTAAATTAATGACAGTTGGATAGATAAAGCAAAAGTCATGTACAAAGCAGAGAAAAATAAGGAATTAAACCCCTAGGAAAGCAATGTTCCATCACTCTGAATGTTTGAGACCCTTTTTCCTTCTTCTCCCAGCTTTATATGCTGATTATGATGCCATAGGATGTGGGACATGCCTTGGGCCAGCTGTCCTGCCTGTGTCCCCTTCAAACTTGCCATGTCCCCTCAGCCTCCTGGCTGGCGTGGTGTAGGAAGGCAAACAGTCCTTGACTCCACAGAAACAACTGAAAACACCAGCCTGTTATCAAAATTATTCTCATGCTAAACCCAAACCACAATGCTGCAGCAGCCAGCAGGAAGAAATGAACTGTACCCCAGCCTAAAGCCAGGACATTTCAGTGTAGGAGCCAAAAGCTGCAGCTCCACCAAGCCACAAGTCCACTACCTGTGTACACAGCACTTCCCAGCATTCCATCCCTAGATTTAGGGAGTTTTCCCAGCACATAAACGTCTCACCTATTCTTTACTTCTGCCTGGGCTGATACCCACCTCCCTTTAGCAGAATCTGCTCTGGCACCCACTCTGCTCTCAAGTCACCAGTCAGGAGGGCTGCAGTGCCTCAGGCATCACCCAGGCCCTTCTCTGCCTGATAATAAACAGTTTTAAACAAAACTCTCAAACTTGGCCATCTATCTTTCAAGGCTTCTCTGCTCCTCATAGTTTTTTCCATTTTCAGTTTCTCGCTGCACATTAGCAAGTGGCTCCCTACAGCTCCCGGTGAAACGTATATTTTAAAGAATTTAGAGATTTTAGAGGAGCTAAGATTTTAGTTAGAAATAAGCCTTACTAGAGTTAATTAAAATAATAATAATAAATGAGTAGGCCTAGATGAAGTAAGGAGTTAGTGGTTAACTAATCATTGATTGCTTGTCAGCACAATGTTTAGTTAGCTGGGTTTATAATGAAGAATACACAAACTGACAAAGAGCTTTAGGAACATCAGACAATTGTGGCCTCCTCTGTTCTGAAACCAATTGAAGACAAGGAATGGGAGTCCTACCAAGAGTTCATTTGTCATATTGGCATTGAAAAGGCAGAAAGGTCAGAATGAGGAAGACTTCATTGACTTCCTCATTTTGGGACCCCTCCCCATGAAAGGGGCACCGACCCATTTCAAGGAACAAACCACGCATACTGAATGGCTTTTAAAATTATTAGCATACAAAGCAGGGAATGGGATGTACCAAAATGATGAATATGTATTTGTAATTTGTGTATTCAATACTTGTATGGATAAAAAGACTCTGTAATTACCTGGAAGGCGAAGTGTGTATTTGGGAGCGACCCCACACACAATAAACACACACCTTCTAACTTTATACTGTTAGAGAGTTTTTGTCCATCACAGCTGGATATCAGTAATAGATCAGTATCCATATTTTTTCAATAAATCACTGGCACCTCTGCTAGCCCTGACATTTCTGTTCAGAAACTCCTACAGCAGTGTATTGCCACTCTTGGAAAAGAGATGAAACCCCAGCTGATGGAGGGTGAGGACAAAAGCCCATCACTGGCACCGCCTGCACATCGTTAGAGTTTCATTTGTTCTGCAACAAGATCTTCAAATGATTAGGGCCTGTTTCAACTATTCCAATAAAAGACACACTGTTTTGGAAACAAGAAAGCCTCTCGGATTTTCACACCCTGAACAAAATTTGGTGAATGAGTGCTGATGGCTTCAGTGTCTGGAGATTTCGTTTTCCCACACTACAGCACACCTATAAACAGACTGTTCCATCAGCAAGCTCATTTACCTTTTCCCTGCGTAATCTGAGGACAATGTGCTTACTCCTGATTAAATCAAACCTATCTTTATTCCCGATTTACTCTGCTTATTTACAAACAAAAGTCATGATAGGCTCAATCTGATGGCAAAGTAAAACTTGCTGGAATCTGTTTACCTCTGAAACGTGTGAAAATCCACCTTTCCCCAAGCCCACTGTCATACTAAAACAATAATTCACAGAAAGGCACCTGCACAATTTGGTGGAGATTCTGAACCCATTAATGGCCACATCCTTATGAGACAGCAAAGTCATCTCTGTCAAAAATTGGACAGCTCAGCAAGGCTGTGATCTAAAAATTGCCTTAAACATCCTTCTTCATTTCCTCCTCCTCCTGTCCCACAATATAATACACTAGACCCCAAACTACACCTAATTTCTTGCCACTATAGTCCTGAAACCTGTTCAGTCCCTGTCTTTTCAAGATATAAATCCTGCAACACATAGGTCCTTGCATGCAAGTGAGCATAAGGTCTGGTTACAGGCAGATTGTTTTAGTTCCTAAAACTCACAGCTTGGCACCTTCAGCAACACTAAATAAATTAAAAATCAAGTATCTGTGAATCATGTTTGACTAAGTCACTCCCTTGAAATCCTGCAGGTTTCCGATGTGGAAAAGGGAGGGGCAGAGGAAGTTGCTCTTATGGCTTACCTCTTCCTCTGAGAAATTATCACCTTGGATACTGGAGAAGAGGGAGAAATAAAACAGTGCAAAGAAAACACCCTGAGTAACATTATCCCACTCATAAACCACATATATTTTACTGTAATAACCCACCTGACTACTCCAAAAATTGCACTTAAATCTTGACATTTTTAATTACTCTGCCCTCCTGTTAAAACATGATTCTGTCCTATTTGATAAGGATTGATGTTGCAGGCATTGCCACATCAATTGCTTTTTCCAATAGATGGACATAATCATTTTAATCAGGTCACGACAGCTGACAATTTTAAATGCACATCAAAAATGAAAACATTCATTATCATGTAAACACTACAGTTGGGTGACTACAAACTGAGGGTCGAGCCACTGACATGTGAGACACAAATAAAAATGCTGGGGAAAATGCTGAAGCTTTTTAACTTTTGTGCTGTAACTGCTACTCTTACCTGAAACTGAAACTGTTAAAGCACTGATCTTAGTGAATTTAAACTAATTCCTATGCATTTGCTAAGACAAGACACTAGACCACCTACTCAAACAGCATTACTTTAGTAGACAACACTGCCCCTGCTTACCTTAGAGTCACACTAACCACTGTTTCATCTGGAGTAGCTCACTGAGATAAGCTGAAGGAAGAAGGAGGGTTAATTCTTTTCTGCTCAAACAAAAGCCCCAGACAGGTAGAAACATACTAGAAGAGATTTCTGTTAAAACAATGAACTCCTTTCTTCATGCAGAAAGACAGGGTTGACAGAGGACAAGCCAAACTGCAGCCATACTTATCTTTTCTATATTTGTAGCTTTCTGGTAGCTAAGTTCCAGAGTCAGTTATCTGACCCAAAGACTGCATCATCTCATGACAGTAGTGACAAGCTCCCTGGTATCACTCTGATGCTATTTCATTAACTCCTTTCCTATTGAAAAGTTGAGTATGCTCAAAAGAGTTGCAAACTGAAACTTTAAAATTTCACACAGAGATGGCAAATACAAAGCTCTGCTGGTGGGCTGTGACTGATTACTGTGCAGACTAAGAAAACTCAAACCAAACAACTTACAAATAAATA